CAGGTTGTCCGAAGTCTGGATTCCCACCCCAATTCGGCGATCCTTTCACCATCCCTTGGGGGCGTGTGGGCTGACTCCGTGATGCACAGCAGGCTGTGGATGCCCCAGTCAGACCTGTTGCTGACACTGCTAGTTGGTGGGAAGCCCTTTAGTGACGTCAGAGTTAGAAAAGGGAACCAGGAATTTCTGAGCTCCCACTAGGTTCCAGGAACTTCCCTCTGAGACTGGGTTCCCTGATCCCTTAAGCAGGGGTGGTGTTAGACACCTCTCTGAACTTCTGCGGACCTAGGACAAGACACTTACGCATTCCCCCATTCCCTTATTCACTCAACAAACAGTACTGGGCGAACTGTGCCAGGACCCATGCCAGGAGTTAGGCAGGAACCAACAGAGACGTGGGCCTGCCCTTAGGGCCTCACAGTCTAGGGGAGCAGACACGGAGCAGATGGTGTGTGCCAGGAGGGGTGAGAAGCTCTCCTGGGCTGGGCCTGAGCTGAGGGGCGCAGGGGAGGAGGCAGGGAGCAGGAGAGGCGGCGGGGCAGGCCTCGAGGGCCAGTGGGGGGAGGAAGGGCGGATGGGAGGCAGAGGCCTGCGAGGGGAGGGGCCGGCCGCAGGGGCACCTGTGGCTGCCTGCCTCCCTGCACACCTCTTCTCCTTTCTGAGTTCTGATTCCCGCTTCTGGGCCTCCGGGAGGAGGGCAGTGGGCACAGGGACCCTGCAAAGAGGTGAAGGGCCCTGTCCCTAGAGAGACGCAGATACTCGCGCTCAGAAAGCTCATCCCCCTGCCTTGGGAGACAGCACAGGGCGGCTGCGTGTATGGGGAAGGACTCAAGAGCCCTGGGCAGGGATTCAGAGCGGCAGGGTCTCCTTCCAGCCCCTCCCCTAACGTGCTCTGGGCCTCAGGGTGCTTGCGTCCCTGGGCCTTACTTTCCTGTCTGCTGTCTATGGGACTAGGACCAAGTGTGGGCTGAACTCGAGTCCCTTCAGCGTTTCATCATGGAAAGAGCCTGGCTTCGGGGTCAGATGGATTTTGGCTAGAATCCTAGCTCTGCCTGGATGAGGCAGTGTGGCCAACGTCAGCTACATTGCTCCTGGAAGCCTGCCCCTGGCCGAGGGCCCACATTCAGAGAACCACTGCCCTAGAATAACATCCCTTTGCAACAAGGGCCTCTGCCTGGTTCAGTGCAACACCCCCAAAGAGTGTGGGCGTGTAGCGAATTCTTGGGGAGTGTGTGCGAATGAACTCACGGAGGGGTCTATTCTGGTGAAGGCGGAAGGGACTGGAGGATGGCTGTGGGCCTGGGGATGGGGTCAGGAGGTGGTCAGGGGTAAACCTGAAGGGCCTCTAATCCTCATGCTCAATCAGGGAGCCTTACATGGGCCCCCAGAGATCTACATCCTCATGGTGGAACCTGAGAATGTTATGTGGCAAAAAAGACTCTGCATCTGTGATTAAGTTAAGGACATTAGGATAAGGAAGTTATCCTGTGTTATCCCAGTGGGCCCCAAATGTAATCACAAGTTCTCTTATTAAAGGAAGGAGGCAGACGGAGAAGAAGGGAAGGAGATGTGGCCGCGGAGGCAAGAGGTCAGAATGATGTGAAGGAGCTCACGCCAAGGAGCTCGGCGGCCCCCAGGAGCCAGAAAAGGCAAGGAGATGGATTCTCCCATGAAGCCTCCAGGAGAAACCCGCCCTACCCACACCTCGATCCCAGTCTCCTGGTCTCCTGAAAAAGCAGAAAAGAAATCTGTGTTGCTTCCAGTCACCAAGTTCTCAGTCATTTGCTACAGCGGCCCTCCCTTGGGAGCTACCCCAGGCCTGTTTGCAGCAGAAGCAGTGGCGTTTACTCAGCAGGGCCAGTGGAGCAGAGGGGGTGAGGCTGGGGACCTGGAGTCAAAGATGGGGAGAGGTGATGAGGGGCGAGGTGAAGGCGGCCACCTGGGTCAGGAAAGGGCAGAGCGCCCTGTTGGGGAGGAGGCTGCAGGTTGCCACTGTCTTCTGGAGTCTCCCCTTGGCTGACTGTGCCACGCCTCTGCCCACCCTCCCGACCGCCACCACCAAAAACCAAGGGCACCCAGACCTTTGGCGGTGATAAGGGTTCTCTGCCAGGTCAACGCTGGGTTTTGCGCCCAAGTGGGGAGCAGAAAGGACACACTATCGGTCATCAGGGAACCTGGGCGCCAACCTTACGAAGGGTCACACAAGTCGCCGATCACCCGGGCAGCCTCCACTGGAAACGCAGCCCCTGGCTTCCTGAACACCCACTCCCACAACCACATACGAGGCCCTCCAGCCGGTTTACCACCTCCTCCGCTGGACCCCTCTGCCCCGCGGCTGCTGCGTGTGACCCAGGCAGGCCCGCCTTCTCAGTTGGCCTTGGCGGCCAGGGTGGCGGTGATGATCGGAAGAGGAGGTGGACACTCACTGCCCGCGGCGTGCCGGGCACCCAGAGGACACTCAGTAACGGGGCTGCTATTTCTGCTCCTGCTCAGATCTTGGCTCTGGCTGCATCACTAGCTTGAGTTCCTTGAATAAGTCACTTCTCCGAGCCTCATTCCCCCCCATCTGTAACGTGGAAGCTAAACACCTACTTCGCAGGGCGGTGCAGAGAATGAGCTGCGGCCCCAAGTCTAATGGGGCCCCGGCACCACCACCTGGAAGGTCGTGCCCATCTGCATGCAGGGCTCAGCTCAGAGGGCTGTTCCCAGGCTCTCTGGGCCGTCACTGCCTCCTCCGGGCGTCCTGCACACCGGACTTTAAGGCTCAGCACACGCAGTGCTGAACCATGGCATCCGTTCCTCAACCAGACCATGAACAGTCACAGGTGGCAAGCGTGATAGCAGCGTGGGGGACCGGCTTTATCTCCCTTTGCAACCCAGCAGCTGGAGGGGAGGGGATAAAATGCTGTCATGGAAAGATCAATATATAGAAATAACGGCCAAGGTAAAACTGGCACCTAACGGGTGTTGGATGAGGGCTGGTCACTGCTGGTGGGTGCTTACTGGATGTCTCCCTGAGGATCTGGGGGTAAAGGCAGCCTATTAACCCAGGTCCCACTGGTTAGCACAAGAGCAAGTGGAATGACCTCCAGGCTGAACTGTGTCAGCGGCTTTTGCCTGAGTGTACACTCCGTCCTTTGCTCTATGAACTAAATGAGCTTTGTACTTGACGCTGCTCTTCCTAAGCAGTGTGGAAAGACAGGGTCATCTCAGCCAGTCTCAGACCTTGTGATCTGCGCTTTGGAGAGATGTCTTTGGGCAGCTTGGAGGATGGATTAGAGAGGGAGAATCCAGAGGTGGGAGGCCTGGAGGAGCCTGGATGCAGGAGCAATGAAGCTCGTTCTGGAAGGATAGCAGGGAACAGGGGGACGGCCTGAGACCACACTCCACACCCAGCTGCTGCAAGGGCCAGAGGGACAGAAGGCCAAGGGGTCTGGTTGGGCAATTTTATCCCCAACAATACCAGCTCCCAGAGGGTGTAGGTGTGCAGTGGTCATCCAAGCCTTTTTCCTGAGTCCAGTGCTCAGAGCTCAAGAGCAGATAAGTATCCTGCCAGGGGGCTCACAGAGCTTGTTCGCATCCCTTGGCCCCCGCGTGCTTGCTTCGGGTCATTCTGGGAGGTAAGCAGGGCAGGCTGCTCGAGGACAAACCCCAGTCTCCACGAGAGGAGGACACTGAGGCCCAAGAGGGGCAGAGACGTGCTCAAGCCACAGAGCCGAGACGGGCTGTCAGAACAGACGCCGAGGCGCCTCTGCTGCATCCCTGCCGCCCAGCACAGTTCCTGGCATGTGATGGGAAGTAGACACATGCTTGCAAATGAATGGATGGGTGGATGGGTGGATGGGTGGATGGGTGGATGGATGGATCACTCGCACAGACCAGCATTCTGGGGGGCAAAGGCATGGTCTGTGGGAAGAGAAAGGAGGGTGACTTTTCCTGAGCATTTGTATGTGTCGGGTGTTCTCCCAGCATCCTTCACTAGCCTCAGCAGCTAGATGGAGCTCACTAAGACCTGTGAACCTTCCCTCCAAGTGTGAGCTTCCTCGAGCCACTCAAGTCTTTGGGGAGGTTTCCCTTAATACCTCTTAGGGGCTTTGTCACAAGTGAATTTATCTCAACCTCGTTCTGACCTTCTCTTTCCAGGCTGGGTATCTCTCGAGGGTGGAGTCTTGAGGCTTCCTCTCTCTTGCATGCCCTGTGTCCCAGACATCCAATGGTCTCCAAGCCCACTTTTTACTAGCCTCCTAGATTTTGCTCTATTCTCTTCCCTCTTATGGAGCAGTCCCGCATCCCCCTTCACTGATGTCCCCATCTCATTCTTCTGGTCCACATCTGAGGGGACAACCAGAGTCCTTTCTCCAAAGCACAGAGGTGATTGGGTTACCCCCATCCTAACTTCTAATCCTTCTATCTTCCCCTAAAACCTACAGTTACAATGCCCAAGCCTGGCTTTCAAGGCTGTGCCTTCCCGACGCAGCCAAGCCTCTTGCTCCCCCCACTTAAGCACCCCACCAAGTGAGATCTGGTGCATCCCAGGTGCTCAAGACTGGGCTGAATGGGGCCTCTGATTCAAGTCCCCGGCAGCAGCACTAGTGCATGGCTATTTGAGGGCTGTCAGCGGATTTAAGTGAACACCTGTGACCACTAACTAAGTGGGCGGAGTTGAGCCTCACACTTAGGACCCCTGATTGTAAGGACGAGGTAGCTAGAAGAGAGGGCCCGCCCATTCTGAGTCAGGGGCGCTCTATGCAGATGCCAGCTCTGTGTGGGGTCCTGGCGAAGCTCTCCAAGATCTGACTGGCTCCTTTTGAAAACAGAGGTCAAAAGTTCTACCTGAGGGGGCGTTCGGGAGGATGGAGCAACACAAAATTTGCAGAGTGCTCATGAAGGCTTCCCAGCAGGCAGCATCCGAAGCAGCCCCTGGTGAATGGCTGTCAACCCAGAGGGAGACCCTCCCTTCCACCACGGTGCATCCTGCATGCAAACTGCCCGGGAGTTACCTGTCTGTGGCTCCCTGGGGGGCCGCGACCTCAGTCCCACTCCACACCTGGAGCCTCAGCGGCCTCTCTTCTGGCCAGCTGGGTCCCTGGCTTGGATGCCTCACCAGCTGAGAGCTGTTGGACCCCAGAGAAGTTCTGCGCGCCTCGTGGCTGGCAGGGCCGCAGCGGAAGAGCTCCTGGTAGGCCGTGCGGAAGTCTCTGTTGAGCGCGGCATACAGCACGGGGTTCAGGGCCGAGTTGGCATAGCCGAGCCACAGGACCACGTCTTCCACGGTCTTGTCGACAGCGCTGTCCCCTTGCAGCCCCCGGTAAACGAACACGGTGAAGTAGGGGAACCAGCAGACAATGAAGGCCCCCATGACGGCAGCCAGCGTCACCGTGGCTTTGTGCTCCCTGAGCGTGGCCGCCCTCCACGGGCCGACGTTGTGAATCCTCCTGGCCTGTTCCCGGGCGATCCTGAAGATGCGGTAGTACGTGACGCACATGATGAGCAGCGGCAGGTAGAAGGTGACCAGCCCGTCCACCAGACCATACACCAAGTTGACCTGGACTTTGCACTTGGGGGTGGTGTGACTGTCACTGTGGTTCTCAGGCCTGCTGTTCCATTCCAGGTGGATGGACAGGAAGGACAGGGTGATGGAGATGACCCAGATTAAGACCAGGGAGACGGCGACCCGGACTGGGGTGACCAGCACGGGGTAGCGCAGGGGGTCCGTGACGGCGCAGTACCTGTCAAGGCTGATCATGAAAAGGTTGAGGATGGAGGCCGTGCAGAGCATGACATCCAGGCTGGTATAGATGTTGCAGAAGACCTTGCCGAAGCTCCACTGGCAGGACAGCTGGTGGAAGGCAGAGAAGGGCAGCACCAGGAGGCCGAGCAGCAGGTCAGTAATGGCCAGGGACACAATGAAGCAGTTGGTCAGGCTGCGGAGCCGGCGGTTCAAGCCCACCGCCAGGCAGACGACCACATTGCCGGCGATGGTGATGAGGATGAGGAGGGTGAGGACTACGGTGACGGCGACCTTGAACGCGGCAGGGTCCAGGCAAGAGGGAGAGGCCGTGCCATTGGACGCCATCCTGGGTCCCTACAGCTCCTGCCCGTGTGCCCCCCTGCCCCCACCCCAGGCCCACGGTTGCTCCTCTTCCAGCTCCCCAGCAGGTCAATTACGTCCACTGCTGGGCTCCAGGCTGCCCAGCAGAGCCGAGAGAAGTATCCAAATGTGGGGAGGCTCCAGGGACCAAGCTAGTGCTGTTTTTTGTAGAAATAAATAAAATGATCTCCAAGAAGCTGGGGGGCATGAGTGGGAAGGAAGATGAGGGACATCTAGTTCTCCAAGCGAGGTTCCTGGTTCAAACCGCAGTCCTCAAATTGCCTCCGAGAGAGCCGACTTCCTCCCAGGACTGAACACATCTCCACTCTCCGGCTTTTGCGTGGAGACTGAGGCACTGGGGCGTGAGTCTGGAGGTGGCTTTGGTTTTATTGGGGAGGTTTCATGTGGAGCTATGGCTGCAGACTTCTCCATGGTGGACAGCTGCCCCCATCCAGGTGATGGGGGTCTGGCACGGCTGCCTCGCCCTCTAGGGTCCCCTGGAAAGCATGAGCTAGAAACACAAAGATGGAGTTTTGAGCATGTTGAAACCAGACTGAGAGTATGTATGACCCAATTCAAAATGAACAGTTCTAGACCTTGACCTCACTCCAAGACACCCGGAGGCCAGGCCGGCATCTCTCCTTAGAAGGGACCAGGGCAATCAGGATAGACAGAGAGGAGAAAGGGACACGGCATGCGAGGGGCTGACCACCAAGTCATCACAGGAGACACAGTAGGACAGGCTCACGTTCATACTGTTTACATTAGAGATTCTAGACTCAGACTCTACGCTCTGAGAAAACGGGCGCTGCATCTGCTCGGTCACTGCTGGTTCCCAGGGCCTGGCTCCACCAGAAGGCATAACGCCTAGGTGGATAAATGATAAAATGAATGAAAAAAACAGCCAGTGTTAATACACTGACTCTGCCAAGCGCTGAGAGCAGCGTTCTACACTCTCGCTTTATAAAACGTCACCACGCTCTGAACAAGAAGCCAACCAGCTTCTTCCGGAGAGGGCCAGCCAGTGGGCACTCTCTGCTTTGTGTCCTGCAAGCTCTCTGCCGCGACTTACTTAACTGTTCCTCGTGAGGGCACCTCAACAGACAATGCGCAGATGAGTGATCCTGGACGTTACTGTGGACACTTAAATGTGAATGTCACGTCGTTTTCATGTGTGGCAAAATCTTCTTCTCTTGAATTTTCCTCAAACTCTTTAAAGCAAAATGTAAAATTTTGCAAATGCAAAATTTTTGCAAAATGCAAAAAATGTAAAATTGCTATTCTTAGTTCACGTGATGCACAAAACCAAAGAGAGGACCAGATCTAGCCTGCTGTCCCAGCCTGCCAACTGCAGCCCCACCTGTGTTCTGGACATCCCTCGAAACCTCACTTTCCAGGTCAGCGGGTGCAGACCTCACTCAGTCTTTCAAATGGCTGCATAACAGTCTGTGGGGTGGCTGGCCTTGATTTGTCTGTCATCACTCTAACACAAGTATTCTGGTGGTTTCTAGTTTCTTCCTCCCTCCATCCCTCCTTCCTTTCCACCTCTGGTCCCACATCAAACATCACTTCAGTGGAATGAATACCTGGGCACGCCATGCTTCTTTTGGTTAAATATCAGGTTAAATTCCTTCTTATTGGTGATAGTCTATGATTCTGATCCATGCAAAACAAGCTAAGGCCCTGCTTGATTCCTGGGCCCTTTCTCTCAAGCGGATCCTGGTTGTCCAGAGAACAGCCAGCAGCAGCAGTCTCCTGGGATCTGGGAGTGTGCAGAGAATCACGCTGACAGTGGAACTCCTCTCAGGAAGGAGCTCAATGCCATCTGACACAAAAGAAGCCTCAGTCTCTTGGCCTGGAGTGGTTTTGCAATCTGAATAAGAGAGGCATCGTTTAATCACAACAGCTATGTCAGTGCAGGGATCACAGCTCCTGGTCACCTTCTGCCATTCCAGCTGGCTCAGCCACCTAGCCTAGTAGGCTGGGCCTCTAAGTATTATTTTTAGAAGATCTTTTCATTACATAAATAGCCCAAACAGTACGGCTGTTACTGCCACACTTAATTAACTTTGGAGGGGGTAGCAGCAAGACTATTTGGTTTGGTTTTTTTTTTTTTTTTTTTGAGAACCCTTATTTCTGATCAAAATTTCCTCTGAGTTTCCTTAATAGCCAGGATTAGGTATTTTGAACTGATGTTTTAGTTAACGTTGGAAGGCTTTCAAATCTGAATAAACTGGCCTCTTATATAATTAAAAATTAATTCTTCTTTCCCTCCCTCCCTCCTTCCTTCTGTCACCTCCCTCTCTCTGCTCTTTTCAGCAAATATTTCTTTCAGAACCTACAACGTGCCCAATGTTTTTTGAGGGGCTGGGGCCATGGCCACAACCACCACAAAGAAAGCGCTGATTCCTTTCCTCATGGAGCTCCTGGAGCTTCAAAGAACAACCACTTCGGTTGTGTTTCTGTTTTATAGCCTAAGTCCCAGAAGTTTCCAGTGACCTTCGTGAAGGCAGAAGCTTTCATGTGGAGCTTTGGGCGTAGAATGATGGCCCTTGGGGTTACGACCCCAAGATCACTGTCTTTGTGATCACCATCGTTGTTACCATCACAGCTAATATAAAAAACACTTTCTTGAACCTTCCTTTCAAACTTTAAAAGCAATGACATTGCTTATTGCAGTAAACCAAGGGCTCTGAGGTATACAGGAAGGGCCAACTGTTTGGATCATTGCATACAAGCCCTCACACTGGGAAGGTGACCTTTGCTGACCGTTTGGTGTTACGGGGACCATCCATTCTTTCTCTGAGGCTCTGCCTGTACCAGACACATGTAGGACACTGTTCTGATACTTCCTTTCCTCATTTCTTTCAAAATCTCTACTATATAGTGGACACCCTTCTAGATCACTTAGATCTAACGCATTCTATTGGGAAGCTAGACTGTGGCAACAACCACCACCATCACAAGAAGAGCCATGAGCAAGGAGGTCTGCGGCAGCAGGTTTGCAAGTGGCAAATGATGAGAGATGATCTGAGTGCCTATCAGCAGGGGAATGGTTCAACCCAAGATGGAGCATCTGCACTACAGCAGGGTCCTGGGCAAGGTGATTTCACGCATATTAAACGGAAGATCTCAGCCGCACAATGACTGCTCTAGAGAGGAATCTGTTGCTATTTAACAGTTGAGGAGAACGAGGCTCAGACAGGCCCAGTGATGTCACACCCTTAGTAAGTGTCCAGAGAGCCTGGATTCAAACTCAGCTTACGTCCCTCCAGCTGCCTTCAGGCCCACTCCTGCACAGACTTCAACTTGTCCTTCTAAGTGGGTCTCAGCAGATAGTCCTGTTGTCTCCCTCACTCTGACATTCTGGCACCCCGACTTTGGCCCAAATGCACCAGTCTCTTCGCTCCTGACTCTGCCTTTGCTGTCTTCTTCACTCTGAGTCCCGCTCTTCCTTGTCTTCAGTCAGTGACGCCCTTTCAAGGCCTAGCTCAAACACAGGTCCCCACACCCTCCCCCACCATCTGAGAGCATGGTGTTGTTTTGAGATCTTCTGAAAGCCAACATGGTGTAAAGTGAAGAAGACGTTATCTTAGGACCCATCTTGCTAACGGACGCACAAAATAAATCAAGATAAAGCACAGATGCTCAGACACACTTCGCAGCTTGATGATGAGATGCTGAATGTGGCTCCCAGGGAAGGAGCTTGGGGGAGGGGGGAGTGGGGTGGGCGTGCATGCAGGCTGCCTCTATAACAGCTCACCGCCAAACAAACCTGAATGTTATTTTTGCTTTTCACCTTTTTTTTTTTTTTCGTAAAAGCAAAAATCCTCCTTGGATTTCTTTCAGTACGAAACAGGTAAGTCTTTCGTGAAAGAGAAGTGAGGTAAAGCAAACTTTCAAAAAGTGGGGGGTCCCTGTTCCTCTGTCTCCCTGAAGCCTGCAGGCGGGGGTACCCTCCCCTGTACTGAATTATAGCGGCTCAGACAGCAAAGAGTCTGCCTGCAATGCAGGAGACCCAGTTCGATCCCTGGGTCAGGAAGATCTCTTGGAGAAGGGAATGGCACCCCACTCCAGGATTCTTGCCTGAAGAATTCCATAGACAGAGCCTGGAGGGCTATAGTCCGTGGGGTTGCAAAGAGTCGGACTCAACTGAGCAACTCACACTTTTACTTTCACTTCATACTGTTGGCACCTGGCTTTGTTAATATGGCTCAGTGTCCGTCTGCAAGCAGGGTCTGGATCTAGACCACCTGTCCCCAGCTTCCATCCACCTATCCATCTGTCCTTCCAGCCAGCCAGCCAGCCAGCCAGCCAGCCAGCAAGCAAGCATTTCTTTTTGTCTAAAGGAGAGGCCCAGGGTACACAGAGTGAGTGTGTGTGTGAAAATGATATGGAATTTTCACTAAAACTGGCTTCAGCCACTTCCTGTCCCGGTCTTGCAGGCTGACCACAGATTCTGCATTTGTATGTGTCACACTGCTTCCTCTTATGTCGTCTCAGTTTTCGCCTTAAGAGTCTCTGAAAAAAGCACTTTCTGAAGAATTTGCTTATGGGTTGCTGTGCCCCTTACTGTCCCCTGGGGAGATTTCTGATCTTCATCTACAGTCATCACCTGGCGAATGCAGCCATAACAAAAAGCAGTGCCCTGCTCAGAGTCTGATTCATCACATCAAGCACCTCTGGGAGGCCGAGGTGGCCAATTAGCCTTCAAGAGCAGCCACAGCTCAGTGTGTTAAACGCACTCGGTGAGCTCACAGATGTGTATTAAACCCACTGCGCTGGGCTCTGCACAGGGAAGTCTGCTGTGATCACCTCCGATGACCAGCCTCGGTCGTCTCTAAGTACAGACAGATCTTTGACGTGACTTTCAAGGTTCTGCGTGACCTGGTTTTGTCTTTTCTCTTTAGCTTTAGCTCCTGCCTGCCTGGTGCCCTTTAGCTGGACAACACTTGTAGAAATAGCTCTGGTGGCATTTAATTCCT